AGTAAACACAAAGATTTGTTTCTAACATTTTGTCCAGTATGATTCTCAAACATAAAGTTTCCAAAACAGTGTCGATACATTTATTATAAGTATCGATCATCAAAATATCGAAGCCAATTATTATAAAGTAATAGGTAAATATATCGGTTTAATGAGAGAATAGGTAAATATATGTGTCGATACATTTTCTAAAAGTATCGACCCCAAAAACATCGAAACCGATAATTATAATGTAATAGGTAAATTTACAATGTAACTGGTATAAATATACCAGTTTTATGATAGAATAGGTCAACATAATGTATCGACACAAATTTAAAAAGTGTCGATACATTTTGTCCACAATGAATGCCAAACGAGGTGCACGCATAAAATATTGATACATTTATTAAAAGTATCGATCTCAAAAACATCGAAACCGATAATTACAATGTAATAGGTAAATTTATAATGTACCTGGTAAAAGTATACCGATTTTATGAAAAAATATATCTATATAATATAACGACACGTTTTAAGTTTGTGTCGATACTTTTTTCAGAATGAATACCTAACGAATAGATATAAACTGTGTTATTTGGATATTTTTTTTCCTTCATAAAGTACATGTGTTCATAGATCACCATTGTGATTCTCACTTATAGAGCAACACTTGAAGCTGATCAAGTAGGTTGCTCCTATATTTTAAACCATTGCCCTTAACGATGTAAAAGAGAGTCTTGAGAGTATTAAAGTGAACAGTTTTATACATCAACAAGGTCGTTGTAGTATAGTGGTAAGTATACCCGCCTGTCATGCGGGGTACCTAGGTGTGATCCCCGGCAATGGCACTATTGTTTTAATTTTTTTGGATATTTCGACAGAAGGTGAGAGAAAAAGGTATCGTCGCACAAACTTGTTTTGAAACTGGTAAATGCTCACGTGCGTGCTTATTATACTGCTAAAAAAAATTGGTAGCAATTTTGTTATTGTTGTGCATAATTAAATCGATAAAAATTACTGAAAACATCATTATTTCTACTGATTTTGTTATTATTTTAGTATTCTACCGGATTTCTTAACAAAACTGGTAAAAGTGCTACCGGTTTTGTTATTGTTGTGCATAACAAAACGGGTAAAAATTATAAAAAAAATCATTATTTCTACTGGTTTTATTATTATTTTGGCATTTTACCGGGTTTCTTAACAAAATCGGTAAAAGCGCTACCGGTTTTGTTATTTTTTTACCGATTTTGTTATTGTTTGACATTTTACCAAAAATGTTAAAAATATTGATGTTTTAGGTAGAAATAATAATGTTTTAGGTAATTTTTATCGGTTTTGTTATGCCCAACAATAACAAAACCGGTAAAAATAGATTTTTTTAATGAAAAAATTAGTAAACACAAAGATTTGTTTCCAACATTTTGTCTAGTATGGTTCTCAAACATAAAGTTTCCAAAACAGTGTCGATACATTTATTGTAAGTATCGATCATCAAAATATCAAAGCCAATTATTATAAAGTAATAGGTAAAATATATCAGTTTAATGAGAGAATAGGTAAACATATGTGTCGATACATTTTCTAAAAGTATCGACCCAAAAACACCAAAACCGATAATTATAATGTAATAGGTAAATTTACAATGTAACTGGTATAAATATACCGATTTTATGATAGAATAGGTCAACATAATGTATCGACACAAATTTAAAAAGTGTCGATACATTTTGTCCATAATGAATGCCAAACGAGGTGCACGCATAAAGTGTCGATACATTTATTAAAAGTATTGATCCCAAAAACATCGAAACGGATAATTACAATGTAATAGGTAAATTTACAATGTACTATATAGAAATATATCGGTTTTATGAATAAATAGGTCTACATAATGTATCGACACGTTTTAAGTTTGTGTCGATTCTTTTTTCCAGAATGAATGCCCAACGAAGTGCACACATAAAGTGTCGATACATTTAAAATTGTATCTATTCCAAAAACATCGAAACCGATAATTATAATAGAATAGGTAATTTGTAATGTCACTGATATAAATATAATGGTTTAGTTAGAAAATAGGTCAATATAAACGCTACCTATTACATTATATAAGCGTTACCTAATATGTTATTGTACTTGATAATATTTCAGGTTAAATACCTATTTTATTATATAAGCGATACCTAATATGTTATTATATTTGATAATATTTATGATTAAATGCTTATTTTATTATATAAGCGCTACTTATTACATTATATAAGCGCTAACTAATATATTATTATACTTGATAATGTTTTTGGTTAAATGATATAACATAACTGATGTAAATTTTAACCAATCACTTATTTAACGAATTACATCAATTTTAACTGTTTTTTAACCGCAACACATCAGAGCTTCCGATTGAAACTTAGAAGTTAATGACATTATTTTATTTTTTAAATTAATTTGATTATTTTTAAGATTCGTATCACTCTACTCTTAAATGAATTAACATATGTTTTTATTTTGTTAGTATTATACACTCTTTATATTTCTAATAGAAAAAATCCTATATATTATTGTCGCCGATTTTTTTGTGATTTTAATTATTTTATTTAAAAATATAAAAAAACATCATACTAATACGAATTATAATTTTAAAAGAACTGATTTTTAATTATTGATTAAATTAGAGTCAAGTTAATTCATAATTCTAATTCAGTTAATAATTTTATTAATAATATAAATATTATAGTTTAAAAAATTAAAAATTAAAATAACAATATATGTTATGTTTTTAAATATGTTTTAAAAGCACACATTGTCTATTTTTAATATATAGAAAATTTCCCAATATAATTAAGCTTTTATATTAATAAACAAACTTTTAAACTTTGGAAAGGGAGATTTTGGTGTGGGGCCCGTGATGGGAGTAAAGCTTGAATGATTGTGGGCCTACAGAAAGAAGAAAAGAAGGGTGATTTCCAACTGGATGTTTTCCTCTCCAAAAGATCCAAACTTTATGCTTTGCCACGCGTTCATTCACAGCCGTTTCACGGGCCCTTGTTTCATTTTTCCACTCAAATGCACCGCCCCTTCCCCTCCATCCCAACTTACAAATAAAGGAGCCGCTGCTGTTCTTTTTTTGTTTTATTTTATTTTAATCATGTAAAAAGTTATCTCTACGATAACATTTTTTTAATTATCCCTTATTTTATTTTTTAGACTTCTGAAACTTTTTTTATTTTTAAATTGATTCTTAAATTCTTAAATATCTTAATTTAATTTTCAAACAATTGGTATATGCTAATTATATGCTATGTTATAAAAATTATTAACTTATGTATTATGGACTAATATGATGTGATATAACAAGAATTAACGTTTCACATCAATAATTAACGTTGAGTTTAAATGAAATAATTTTATTATGTTGCATCATATTATATATTATATAATATACTTTAATATTTATACGACAGTTAATAATTTTTATAATAGTTTCCTTAACGGATGACATATTTATTGATAGTTTGAGATTGAATTAAAAGTTGATGACTAATTTAAAATGAGAGTTATAGTATGGGAATGGAATTGATATGTTTAAAAGTTTGAGATCAATTTAGGATAAGAGTTATAGTTTGAAGATAAATTAAAATGTTTAAAGTATGAGGATCGTTTTAAACTAAGAGTTGTAGTTTAAGTACATATGATCCAATTAACTTTCATTATTTTGACACGTTATTAAATATGATTAGGTAAAACATCCAATTAACCCTTCAATTCTATCAACCTCTTTTAGCCCATATTATCATCTCACTATTAGTGTCGCTTAGACTATTTTTTCCTATCAATAATGACATTGAATCAGTGCTTTCTATTCCCTGTTTTCTCTCTCGAACTCATTTTTCTTTTTACATTTAAATTTGTTTTATTATACTTCAACAACCTTAATTTTCGTTGCTCGTTGTCTCTATTTCACTCACTGTTATTTGACATTTTTTGTATTTTTAGTGCTTGAAGCCTCTATTTAAAATCCAAACGATGGAGAGGTCTATCATAAGATCAAGAGTAATATACCTTTGTTAGAACTCCATCCAACATTAGAAAGAAATAGAGAACAATAAATTTAAGTGTTCATAGTTAGATTCATAGAGTTTGAAGTATTTTTTGGGTTAAATGGACACCACATTTGTGTGTTATGAGAATGAAATAAGCTTTTTGGAAAATTTTATGATTCATCGACTATAAAATACAATGATTGACGCTTGTCAGTACGATGACAGATCACGACGAGTAAAAGTCAAAATCTGAGTTGATTCAAACATATAGAGATAAAAGGATATGAAAAAAAAATAAAGAAAAGAGGAAAAGTAAAAAAAAGAAACATAATAAAATAAAATTAACTTTTACATGGATTTAAAGCAATATCATTTTGACGTATTTTTGATTATTTGTGGGATCTAAAACGATGTCTTTTTTATTTTAACTGTTATGTCATCGTACCGTTTATGATTTAATGATAGAGTGACTAAAATATGATTAATGTTAAAATTAAATGAATAAATTGAATTTTTTAAAATTTAATATTTAAAACAAAAATAATATTAAAGTGGAATGGTAAAATTTATAATTTAAACTTATAACTTAAAAGAAATATAAAAAATACTATAATTTTCCAATATATAAACTCAAGGAAAAAATATTCCATGGTAGAAAAGAGATGTACATCTCTCTCATGCAACTTTAGTTCATTGCAAGTACGGATTACCCAAGTTTCTTATCACGTGAACCGGAAAATTAGAAATCGGTTCCCTTTAAAAAACTCCTACCTCAGTCACACGCACCTATATATGCGCGTGTGATTCCTCCACTCACTTTTCCTCCTATACATGCCGTTGCCGATAATGATAGATAAGTTCCTTATAAGTCTTTTTGTTTTCCCCTTTTAAATAAATTTACTCGTTAAGATCTTTTTAAATCTCTAGACTCCAATTTTTCAGTGATTAGGAATCTCTTGTTGTCTCAGAAATCTCTTGAAAAACCTAAATAATTAGGGAAATTACAATGCGGATAGCTTTATGCGGGGAGAATCCGGGATTGGTATAAACATGAAGAGAAAACTGAATCCAGGGAGGAATAGGAGCCTTATGGAATTGATATCTCGGGAAACCGAGGAAGATATGCGTTTGGTCATGGCCTTCGGATGCCGGTTCCGCTTTCGATCGGCATTCGATTCATACTCTATAGCTTGTGAGTCATTCTCTGAAGAGCAACAGCAGATTCTCTCCTCATCCTCTTCTTCGCATCTGATCGGGATCAATTTTGATCTCTAATAGCGTTTTCTGGCCCCTTTTCCGTTTCTTTTGGAGGTTTTTCTTTCTTTTTTTCCTTTTTGAGGATTTTCTTTTGGCCTTTGTTGGAATTGTCGATCGAGTTGCGGCTTAGGTTTGTTCTTTGTACATAAAAAAAACAATGGAGGTGGCTGATGACGGTGATTTCACTGAGAAAGATCCCTCGGGTCGGTATGTTCGGGTATGTTTTCTGGCTCCGAATCCTGTTTTCGTTTATATATATACTGTTCGTTTTCCCTTTGTTAGGGTTACTTGGTATATGTTTGGTTGCCAAGAAATTTGGAGGACATTGGAAGACTTTTATATAATAATCAAATACTACGTACTCTTTAGGCATATTTAGTTTTTTTTTGGGGGTAAAATATTGTTATCCATTTCATAGCAAGTAAACAACGCTAAGTTTGAGTAATGGAATCAGTTGTTGGGAATCTAACCACCTTTGGTTATGGCTTAGCTTCTACTGGATTAATAATTTGTAAATATTTCATCTTTGGCTAGTTTTACTGCTTTTCTGAGTAAGTTTTTCTTGCTTTTTTTGTGGAAGAAAAGGGGGTTAATTTCTTATTGTGCTACCGTTTAAATAAGCAATATTAAACTTGATAAATATGTATGATCAACCAAAATGCCAATGTTAACCTAGATATGCTTATTTTTTTTCTTGAATAGTTTGCTTTAGTAGAAATTAAATTAGTTTGCTCTTTTGAATTCAGTGATACAATTGTTTTTTTGATTTGTCTTGTTTTCATTCCCTCAGTATGATGAGATCTTGGGGAGGGGAGCATTCAAGACTGTGTATGGTTCCAAGACCTATCTTCTTTGAATTTGGTTAACTTAGATAGGACTGCGTTTGATTTATTCTCCTGTTTTGGCTGCTACATTGTTGTTTGTAGTTACAAGGGATTTGATGAAGTTGATGGAATAGAGGTTGCATGGAACCAAATCAATATTGAAGATGTGTTGCAGAAGCCTGAGCAGCTGGAAAGATTATATTCAGAGGTTCATCTTTTGAAGTCATTGAAGCACGAAAACATTATCAAGTTCTACGATTCATGGGTGGATGATAAGAACAAGACCATCAACATGATAACAGAGTTGTTTACTTCGGGAAGTTTGAGGCAGTGAGTTCCATGAATTTCTTTTTATTTTCCCGCTCTTTTCTGGCTTCATCATTCATTTCTGATATGCAGAGATTTTGTTTCCTTTAGGTACCGAAAGAAGCATAAGAATGTTGAGGTGAAGGCTATCAAGAGCTGGGTGCGGCAGATCCTTAGAGGTTTACACTATCTGCATAATCACAATCCTCCGATCATTCATAGGGATTTGAAATGTGATAATATTTTTGTTAATGGAAATAATGGAGAAGTGAAGATCGGAGATCTTGGATTGGCAACTGTCATGCAGCAACCCACTGCCCGAAGTGTAATTGGTACTTCATTTTCTCAAAAATAAGTAATAATGTTACTCCAGCTAATCCATTTTGGTTGAAGTTTGTAATGCTTTGTTATTTTGTTCAGGAACTCCTGAATTCATGGCTCCCGAGCTTTATGACGAGGAATATAATGAACTTGTCGACATATATTCTTTTGGTATGTGCATGTTGGAGATGGTTACTTGTGAATATCCATATAATGAATGCAAAAATCCAGCACAGATATACAAGAAAGTTACCTCTGTAAGCGGACAACCATCTCCAATACATCTTCCATAATTCTATGAAGTGATTGTTTAATCTCTCACAACTTCTTTCACTGCAGGGTATTAAACCTGCTTCCCTTGGTAAAGTGAATGATCCACAAATTAAGCAGTTTATTGAGAAGTGTCTTCTTCCAGCATCTATGAGACTGCCAGCTGTGGAACTCTTGAAAGATCCATTCCTTTTGGCTGAAATTCCCAAGGTAGCTGCCAGTGGTCCACTAGTAAACTTGATCCAGGCTAAGCCTCATCTCATGGAAATAGATCCCAACTGCAAAACGCTTCTGGTCAATTCATCTACAAGAAACATCAAGGAAGCTCCTGGGTTCTCATCTCTTGAGCTACAGTGTTTCACTGAGAAGAATGAATTTAGCCTAAAAGGGGAGAAGAATGATGATAATACAGTTTCATTGACCTTGCGCATTTCTGATCAATGTGGTGAGTCGGCTATAGAACAAGTTACTTTCTTTTCTTCTCTTCTCTTCTTTTTTTTTCGGGAAAAATGAAAAAGAATTACGTGCAATGGTGTGTCTTTTCACAGGTCGAGCAAGAAATATCCATTTTTCATTTTATCTGGATTGTGATACTGCTATTGCGATCGCTGAGGAGATGGTTGAACAACTTGATTTGTCAAATGAAGATGTAGCTGTCATTGCAGAGTTGATTGATAGCATGATCATGAAGCTTGCACCCTACTGGAAACCTTCATTTGGAAGCATTTCATACCGGTCGGCTATCTTGAAATGTCAAGACCCCGAAGATTCTATTGGTTCAGACATATCAACTGAATTTGAAGGAATGTTGGCCTCAGACGGGAGTGACAACAAACCAATAGGGTGTTCTGATCACGGAAATGTTGAGTGCCGAAATGGTCTGAACACATATGATTTTGGTTTAGATATTGACCATCTTGGGAATAAAGAGACCAGTGATGAGAAAAACCTTGGGGAATATATTGGGATAAAATACTCCACAAAGAACTCCGAGACATCCTTAATGGATTCTTGTTCTTTTGCATCTCGAGATATGAGCTCATCAAGCATCGACCGTCTATCGTTTGCAGACAAGGATAAGTTGAAGGAGCTGAAGTCGGAGCTTGATGCGATAGATTCACAATATCAGCAGTGTTTCCAAGAGCTCGTAAGGATGAGAGAAGAAGCCATGGAAAACGCCAGGAAGAGGTGGATAACAAAGAAAGTTTCTGTGATGTGATGTACAATATATTTTACCTGCTAACTATCGAGCTTTTCTCCTCTTCCTTTAGTTCATGATAGTACCCTTTTTTTTAGCTGTGATTTGCAACGGAAGAAATCATTTACTTGACAAAACTTTCATTATTTCGGCACACTTTTTATTTGATTGTATGATTCTTACAGTTGGTATGTAGTTCTCAAATTACGTTACATCTTTCCTCCAAAATCATGCATTTATTCAAAAATAATAACGAAAGAAATGAAAGATGGACCGACAAACACAGGCTTTTTATATTATTATTAATGTTTGTTACATCGAGTGGCAAAGAGTTCGATGCCTTCTAAGTCATAAAATTTCGAGTATTCAAGTTGTACATAAATGTATTAATTCAGCAAGTTGGTTTCTGCAATTGCAGCAACTGTACAATCTTGGCCCAACCAATTCAGCCATAGGTTGAAAACTTATAAATACTCGACTAATTCTTACAAGGAATCACAAGAAGAAAACTGAAACAGTCATCAGTATTCAAGCCAAAACCAATGAACATCACAAGAAATATAATAAAATTGATCAAAAGCTTACTTTGAATACATGAGCAAACAATATAATATACATTGCCAATCAACATTTGTTTGAGTAAATAACTTCAAAATAAAGTGTTATATATATAATATTAATGTTATAAGAAAAAAGTGCATGCATAAGAAAAATCTTTCTTATTTTATTATTAAATCTTAATAATAAAAATAAATTATTTTTTGAATTAATTCAAAATATTTTAACAACATAACGTATGAATAAACATAATTTTGGATTACAAATTTAAATTTATAAATTCCTAGAATAACTTTTGTTGTTTGTTTTCAACTACAAGTAGGGGTGTTCATTCGGTTAAAACGGTAGCCGACCGAACCAAATTACCATTAATCGAATTAATGGAACTTTTTTTTTCTTTAACCGTTAACCGAACCGAACTTTTTTTGAAAATATTAACCGAACCGAATAAATTTCGATTAATTTTCGAATTAACCGAAATTTTTTAAAATTTTCTAAATTATATAAAAATTGAATATTTTTTAATTCAGAAAAACAATTTACAATTAATTTAAATAATATATAATTATAAAATAAAAAATCTATATGGATTTTTAATTAATTAATATTGATTTATGTTTAAAAGTTATTGGATCCTAAATTATTAATTGGGTTTTAAATAGTTTGGGCTAAGCCCATATGTTATATATAATATATTTAATATTTAAAATTTAATTACGGTTAATTAACCGATTTCGAACCGAATTAACCGTTAACCGAATTCTAAAAAAATTATTAATCGTTCCCCGACCGAACTAATTCGATGACCGACCGAATTAACCGAACTAGTTCGATTAAAACCAAAAAATGAACACCCCTACATATTAGTCCATTAATCCGTAAACAAAAGTCCAACACGAGTAGGATAAAATATAATATTTTGTTTTCAACTACATCTAAATTCCTACAATAACAAATGATGTTTTGTTTGACCTAAAACTATATGCAAAATCAGTGTAATAATGCATTGAAAAAAATTGCTCAGATAATGCAGTCGAATGATTATTCGCCCATCTACTACAGTTTTTCATAGGTCGTCATGTCTTCCAAACGACCTACGTTGGTCGCTATGTGCTCCAAACGACGATTACCTAAATTTCCCTAAGTAACACATATTACCTATATAGATAATTAGACTTTTAGTCGAAGATGCACTGTGCGACCTATTGGTCGTTCGGAGCAGCCGACGACCTCGTGGATCACTGTAACAATCACCCCAAATAAAAAAATAATTCATGGACTTTACCCCATGAATTTTTTTCCCGTTGCATTATTCGACTGATTTTGCCAAAACTTGATATATAGTTAATAATTTTGGTTAAAACTCAATAATATTATATTACAGTGAAGTTTAACCTAAACTTTTATATGTTTACACTAAAAAGTTACATAATTAATAATAATTAATAATAATTTTTTAAATTATAAATGAAAAATTATACAATTTACCTGGATTATTATAAAAATATAATGATATCAATTTTACTCTAAAAAATATGTTCTTGATAATATTTTTTTATTATTATCTATTTTTGTATTGTTTTAGCCTTATATTAACCTATTGCGCAACATCCTAAAATTCCCCAGCTGGTTTTACGCATGTAAACCCCACCCACCCAAAGCATAAACACAGGGAACAGTCATTGGAGGTAAACCCCACCCACCCAAAGCATAAACACAGGGAACAGTCATGGAGAGCAACACAGGCGGCGAAGACACTGTCGCAACCATCAAATCTATTCGGACCCAACTCGAAACCCGAATCCAACAACAACGTGCCACTCAACTCGACCTCCTTGCCTCCCTCCAAAGCTTGGATCCTAACATTGTTCCCACCCTCGATCTCTCCCTCCGTTTCGTCTCCGCATTCAACCGCCGCCCTTTTTCTCCAACTTCTCCGCTCCCCACGCCTAAAAAGATCTCCCACCCGCCCCAACACCCGCCGGGCCACTCCGTTCCCGACCCGAAACAGCTTGCCCTCGTCAAACCTGTACCAGGCGACAAGGACGTTGACGAAAGCGGCAACCCGTTGTCGTTGGTAAGAGCGATGGTTGCTGAGTGTTTGCTTCAGAGAGTACCGTTCAAACCGATAGATTCGTCTACGGTTTTGAGGAAGTTAGAGAACGACGAGAATATAACCGCGGCGGATAAGGCTGCGATGCGTGAAGTCGGTGGCGATTCTGGGGCCATTCTCGCGGTGGGGATAGCTTTGAGGTCAATGGCGGAGGATAACGGCGGCCTCGAGATCGAAGAGTTTGACGTCGGCGGCAAAAGCAGGGTCATGGTACTTAGCATCGATCAAACCCGGTTAGTCAGAGAATTACCTGAAGAACCTGAAAATCATCCAAAAAGAGAGAGGTTAAACAACGATAACGAAAGCGTCAACTTGAAAATTAATAGTAACAGTAATAACGAGTGGCTAGCACCGAGACCCATGGGTGAAATGTGGATGGGAGACCCTGGCATGATGTATCCGCCGGGTGGACCGATGGCAGGCCCGAGAGATCGGGGAATGTGGATGATAGGTAGGCCGCCGATGGCACCAAACAGCGGTCTTTTGCCAGCACAGAGACAAAGGACCGAAGAAGATGATTTGAAGGATTTGGAAGCTTTGTTGAATAAGAAGTCGTTTAAGGAAATGCAGAAGTCCAAGACTGGTGAGGAGATTTTGAACATCATTAATCGCCCAACTGCTAAGGAAACAGCAGTGGCTGCTAAGGTATCTCTGGTTTCATTTAGTTTTTTCTTTTAATTCAAAGTTTTCATTTTCTTGTTGTTTATTTAGTTGATGAGTGTGTTCAAATCACTTGGTATAGTTTAAAAGCAAAGGAGGTTCTCAAGTGAGGGAGTATTGTTCATCTTTAACAAAGGAGGACTGTCAAAGGCAATCTGGCACTTTTCTTGCCTGTAAGAAGGTATATCAACAATTTAAACTGTATTGTACCCTTTTCGTCCTTTGACAGTATAGCAGTGTCCAGCAAAATTCGATATTGTTTCTATTTTAGAGTAAACTGATTCTCTTTTATGAAGAAATGGGTAGCAAAAGCCTCTCTGCTATGGCTCTTGTTAGTAGTAGGGATGAAAGGTTGCATCATTGAGCTTTAATGGTTTAACCTATATTGTTATTATCGGATTCAAGACAATGGTTGGTTGTCACTGTATATGGCTACGTCTTATGTGGTGCTATCATTTGAACTTCCGCAAATCATTTGACTATATTTTAGAAGGATCATTTTATGACTCATGATTTGACTATTTGCAATGTTGTATACTTGTGTTATTATCTGTTGATTTCTTTTCAGGTTCATTTTAAACGCAGAATTGCTCCTCATACTGACATCAGTTTAGGGGATTGTTCATTTCTAGATACTTGCCGACACATGAAGGTAATCATTTTTATACTAAATAGATCAACTTTTTACTAGGTTTCTCTGTTGCCATCTTACTACTACTACTACTTGAGAGTAATGTCAAACTGATATTGTTCGATAGACGTGCAAATATGTCCATTACGAGCTTGACCAAACACATGACTATCTTGGTCCTGAGAAACTGTTGAAGCCGCCACGTGCTGAATATTGTTCAGAAGTAGAACTTGGTGAATCACAATGGATTAGTTGTGATATCCGTAATTTTAGAATGGACATTTTGGGGCAATTTGGTGTCATCATGGCAGATCCACCATGGGATATTCATATGGAGCTGCCTTATGGAACAATGGCTGATGATGAGATGCGCAATCTTAATGTTCCTGCATTGCAGACTGATGGTCTGATCTTCCTTTGGGTCACTGGACGTGCAATGGAGCTAGGGCGGGAATGGTTCGTGCTTTATTCTGCATGTTTGTTAATATTAATCAATAAAAGTTTTGAAGTTATAATTTTTGGCGAGTGATGCCTTAAATCTGTCATTCATATTTGTGAAAGTAATTGTGCTTCTTGCAGTTTGGAACAATGGGGGTACAAGCGGTGTGAGGAGATTATTTGGGTGAAAACGAATCAACTTCAGCGAATAATTAGAACAGGAAGAACGGGTCATTGGTTAAATCATAGTAAGGAACATTGCCTTGTAGGAATAAAGGGAAATCCAGAAATAAACAAGAATATTGATACAGATGTCCTTGTTGCCGAGGTTCGAGAGACTAGCCGTAAGCCGGATGAGGTTTGTGGAACTTATATTTCATACACCCTACATGTTTGGCTGTCCCGTTTACAATTATTTTTTTTACCACTTCATGTCAGAAATGATAGTTAAGGATGTTGACGACCATGGATACTGATTTTGAAATTTACTGTTGTGCATCTTACAATATCATTTCATTACAGAGATGGCTGAACTTTGTTACTGTTTTAGTGCTTTATTTTTTTGCAATGGCCTGTTATGTAGTTCAAGAACTTACCTTAATGGAAACTTAAACTCCGCAGATGTACCCCATGCTAGAGAGGATAAGTCCTAGGACAAGGAAGCTGGAACTATTCGCTCGCATGCATAATACTCATGCAGGGTATGGCATCTTGGATCCTTGTTCTTGCTTTAGAATTATTCGAATATATTATCATCTATGAGAGTGTACGTTTTAAAGATCAAGAGTGAACCTAGAAGGTTTCAAGGCTTAAAATATATTATGTATCTGTCCATTTCAGTACTTAATGTATCCTTGAATCTCCTTTCTACATATTTCCCATCAGATGGATATCACTCGGGAATCAGCTGAACGGCGTTCGACTAGTTGATGAAGGGCTAAGAGCAAGGTACAAGGCTGCCTACCCACATATAGAGGTACAACCTCCCTCTCCTCCCAAAGCTTCTGCTATGGAAATAGATTCTACTGCTGCTAGAAGTCCCTTTGCGACGGAGGCAAGATCACAGTTTGCAGACGCTGCTGCTCCTGAAGAGAGGGCAATGGCTCTAGATGCCGATATGGCCGGCTGAAAATAACATTAAATCCTGGCCTTACATGGTTATTTCTGAGGGCCGTTGAACCTATTCAATTGTTCCTGAGAGGTTCATCCATCCCTTTTTACTGGTTCAGCCCTTGTATAATGTTTTAGAATTTGCTGAAAATGAAATCAAGCTTAAAGTTTGACTTAAAAATGAAGACGATGGATCTTGAACATACTTTCAAAATTAGAATTTTAAAGTAAAAGGAGTATTAAAGATATGGGTAAAATTGAGAAAACATGCTGCGGTGAGAATCAGAACTTTTCACTCGACCAAAAAGCACCAGTGAATTTTGTTTATATTATTAGTTTTTGAACTATGTAATTTTTTTTCCAACTTAAGCTCTAAATTTTGTTCAGATCCATATTAATCTTTGATAGTCTTCCATTTTAATTTGATGATGGAACAACTCTGGTATTGTACCACATTATCAAAAGGACTAAAATGAACCAAAAATCCAAGTTCAAAGACTTGAAATGAATAAGAAAAAGATTCAAGGATCAACTTGAAAAAAGTACTTGAAATTGCATAATCAAGCCACCGTATGCAACTCTCAATCCTACATTTCCAACTCTCAGATTTCATTTCATCCTAAAAGTTCAATTGAATCATACAGCACTGTATAAAGCCACAAATTTGGTAAATAATACAAATCCTATCATAAAATCATGTAAAAGATGTCAAGCCAAGTGAAAGAAATAAAAGTTATCTCCCAAGATCATATCTTTAGAGCGGTTTTCGCCATCACTAGAGCACCCTCGTAAGTCTGGTTTCCACCGATAAACCCACTCATGTGAACAAAGACGCAGCCAGAAATTCCTGCCCCTTTTGACAGCTCATCGTCCCTCAAACCTCGCCACTGAGCAGGGAGGGGCCTCCGGCTCTCAAAACTGTCAGGAGATACTGCAACTGACTGAACTCGCCATTGTTTGCCTCTTTCATCCTGGGTCATGGGTACGGTAAGATTAAGAATCTATCTAAAAATTCCAGAAAAGAGAAAAACAACTACAACTTGGATGATCGGGAAACAGCAGTGAACTATATATACAAAACCATTTGGCAGACAACACTATTTATCTAGGACTAACACAATCAAAATCTTGTTTGAATGGAAGATCGGTGCATACCTCATAAAGAACATACTTAATAGGAGGCTCAATCTTCAGCTCCTCTTCAAGCTCAAATAAGTGAAGTTTCCACTGTTGGATGCAAAATTAAATTAGACTTAATTGTACAAAAATGATGTCTGATGGTTAGTCAATCATAAGACACGGTCACTTCTTGTAATATATTCATCTCACATACTACTAGAAGTTGCACAGGTTACTTGATGAAAGTTCAAACCAGCTGAAGGACCAGAATGTGTATATTTATGAAAAAAACAATTCTCTATAAGATATCTTGCTTTCCTCCCAAGATATGCATAAACAGATTACAAAGAAGGAACTATCCATACCACACACTTATGCAGTGCTAGTTGAAGAAGAAAATTACAGGAGGAAAATGAGAAACATCTACTTACAGGGCAAAACCTTTTCAAAAACATAATTTCACAACTAGGATCCACATCAAATCTCTCGGCAATACACTCCATCACAATTGACCTTGCTGGCAACCATGATTTTGCATGAAATTGGACACTCTGAAAATTGAAGGCCACCAAACTATTAAATTATGAAGAATAATACAGTTTATACTTCTTTACCTTCAGAAGGCAATGAAAAAAAATCCTTATCCATGAAATTGAAGACCATACTAATAATAGTATATTTATGTAATTTAATTTTGGCATAACCTTACTTCTAAGAACTCACTACCGGCTAAATCCATTGCTTGTTGGAAAGCCTCGTTCTCTTTCTCAGGTGATTGATCAGGATCTGTCCAGTCTAGATTTAATCTTCCTACCCTAGAAGATAAATGTGTATTGTTCACATATCTTGGAGGCTTGTCAGTATCAAACTGGTTGATTCCATTGTCAACTGCATCAATTGCCTGGTAAACGCAAAAGACAATATCCCAATTGAACATCTAAATCATAATCACTTAACTAAAGCATAGGAAAGGAAAAACCAAGAAAATGGCATCTAATATACTCCTATAAAAGATTGGAAGTTGTGGAAGTCAAACGCATGTAAAACATTAAAGAATCAAACATATAAGTACCTCCATGAAGCTTTTGTAAATGGCCAGAAATAATCTATGCACATCTGGGTGATCTTCTCCAAGCTGAAGCTCTTTAGCTATTATCTCCTTGCCAAAATGCTAGATACACGGAAAATTACTAATAATGAACTAATGAAGAAATATAATAATCTACCAAAAGACACCATTGCTCATATTATAATTTATGCTCTATCAAGAAGTTTGTACCAAACCACAATACAAAAAAAGCAAATGGTGAGAACCACGAAAAGGAGCTTCAATTTCCCCATGGAAGAGATGAATACCTTATAAACAAGTCCGGCACTGCTAAGCTTTGTATTAAAACCATGTCCAAACACCTCCTCAAATCCCTTCTGGTGATGATCATATCGATCATGACTAGGATCATACACGCCTCCAACATCAAGCACAGCATCAAGCCCCTCCAATACCTGCAAATTCAGATCAATCTTATAAAGAACCTTAAAAAAAGAAGCATTATAACCAAATGAGAACAACATAAACTACATGAATCTCATAATAAACAACGCACTTCACCAATCGGCTATGGATTTCAAGTTTTGTAATTTACAATCAAAACTTGTATAAAACTCGCAGACAACAATAAAGCTTCACAGAGAAGCAAAAGCAGCACATATTTAGACCAAAAGGAAAACCCGTTTCATAATTTCCATTTCTTCTAACTTCGCTACAATATTTGGCCAAAACAAAACTAACCTTGGGATCTCGGGTACGGACAATCTCGGAGTGGGAAAACTTGTCAGTGAGACGAATCATGAAGCAGCCAAGGGCCTCATCGCAGTGGAAACTGCCGTTGTGAGTGCCAACGCGCTTTAAAGGAGCGTGTGCGGGGGAGCCAGTGGAGTAAGCCGGAGAAGAAACCCTAGTAAGGTTAGAGGTAGCCATGAGAGGGCGCGAGAGGGTTTTGGACAAGTTGATAATTATCTGGTTAAACCCTGAAAGTACCAGTATGCCTTTAATTCCCAATTTTTAACTCCCGCCGCTAAAACCCTTTATACTTTATAAACTTCGACAAAAACGGCATCTTTTTCAAACATTTCCAATTATTCCCATTATATAATGGCATCAATGTCAAAACAATGCACGAACTCTATAACAAAACATGTAATTGAATTAGATTAAATTATAATATGTGTAATTATATTAAGATAAAATATAGAAATAGTTTCTTGATTATAAGGTGTTATTATTAAAAGTTATAAAATGATTATCTAATTATATAATATTATTTGTTTGAGTCATTCAATTATTAAAAATTATAAGATAGTTATTTAATTATTCATATGTTCCAAAACTATTTTTTTTTTGTTGAAAAATTAGTAGCCGTCTGAATTGGACGTTAACATATTAAAAGCTAGGATGACTAAAACATGAGTAATTCAAAAGTTTAATTATTAAATTAATAACTTTCAAACTATAGTGATCAAAATAATACTAAAAAGATAGTTCAATGATGAACAATGTAGTGTACTCAATTTTAAAATATGGATCGCTAAATATCAATGCATAAGTTCTTATCCTTGTGGTTATGAGATCGTATCCACAGTAGACAATTCATAATACTGATTGTCGGGAGTTTTCTACGAAAATCAACCTAAAATTGAACATCCTACTATCCTTACTCCTCTTACCCCTTTACATATGAGAATAGGTTAGCTAATTTATCAAATATCAATGCCCTCAGCAATCACTTCCACTTTGCTTCTCACTTTGAAACCCAGATTGCTGTTCAAAGATTCCTTCTTCTTTGCGCATTCAACATGTCCAAATGGCCCCATTTCTCCTCTGCTAAAGCCTCTCAGCTTGAAATGCAGCGGCAACTCAGAGGATCAAGAAACAAGCAATGGCTTGAAGGACGCCCTTTCTGGTATTGTTGGCAAGCAGGTCGAGGAGTTTTTGAACAGAGAAGACAACAAGGTTTTGCTTGATGGGTTGGAGAAGGCCTCACAGAGAGTAGAGACCGCTAAGAGACAACTTGCTGAGATTGAAAAACTGGAACTTGAAGCTCAATTGTTGAGAAATTACATTGACCAACTAGAATGCAGGGCGTCCGAGGTCAGTTTCTTCTCTAATTCTTCCTTTCCAAGACCTCTTGGTTTTGTCAGCTCACTGCAAATGGTTTTAATGGATATAATCGAGGCAGTTCCACTGTTCCAGCGTTATATTTTTCAAGATTTTAGCTTTATTATTGCAGTGTTGGAAAGAAAGAAACGTAGTCTCATGTTCAGCCCCTTTGTTTGGGAAAAGGGTTTATGTTTCTCCGAAGTTTGATCTTTCTTCTTCATGATGAATCAAAGCATGCCCTAGATTATGAATTGAAAGTCGTAATTGATATTGGCTAAACAAACCATCTTTGTCTGGGAACACTAATCTTATGATAATCTATCGACTCTTCGAGATATTTCCCATGAGACTATAACTATTGATGAGTAAATTTTGTGAAAATTCAAGATTGCAGAAACTCCCGACTCATCGAGATATTTCCCATGAGACTAACTATTGATGAGTAAATTTTGTAAAAATTCAAGATTGCAGAGACTCAACAGGAGATTTCGCAGGCACGGGCCATGATCGAAGAAGCAGAACGGTCACTTTCACCGGATGAAGATAATGTCAGAGACGGAAATGGTTTCAGCAGCGATGGTGGTGAAGGAATTGATATTGATGAAGAGAGATTAGAGTCTGTAAAAGCAGCTTTGATATCAGCACTTGTTGGTACCCTTGCTGGTCTCCCCATCTCCCTAACCCAAGTTTCCAGCACTACTCAGCTGCTGCTCCCTTTATCAGTCAATATCATCAGCTGTGCATTGTTTGGGGTAACTTTTCGCTATGCCGTTAGGAGAGACTTGGACAAATTTCAGCTAAAAACCGGGACATGTGCAGCTTTTGGTTTTGTGAAAGGTATAACTGCAATCAAGTGCCGAATTGCCGATAAATAGAATGCTTTATGCATGTTATCTGTAAAACAGGATTATATATGCAAGCATAAAGCACATAGTTCAAATTTGATATGCAAAAATAATAATGAAAATGCAGGTCTTGGCACATTGAGTGGAGGAGCTCCTCTGGAATTGGATTGCGGAAGCTTCTTGTCGCATGCTGTTGATGGTGCAGTTTATTTATACAGAATCTTTTCATCTTTTTGTTTGCTGCTGTCGGCTTGGATTTTTGCATTAAAATGAGGGTTTTGAGTCCTTTTCCCATGAGAAGATCAACTCCGAGGACGGATGCAAGGTAATCCGATTCCTCAAATTGGATTTAGAATCTGTATATATAGTGCATTTTGTCTGCAATCTGTATCATGGATTACATTTTCCTCCATACATTAGGTTTTACTGGTAAAGAACAATATGTTCCTTTCAAACAAAGTTGAGATTTTACTGTTTGTATTCTCTTCTGTAAAATAACAAATATGGCTATAGGGAACAATCTTTCCACACTCCACAAATAATTCAGAAAAATGTTTCTAAGTCAAGCTCGAGTTTAAAAGCCTACTGTTGTACATTTCTGAAATCTATATTCACCGAGTAACACGAGCACCAATATAGAATAACTCAAACAGCATGGAGACTCTATTGCCAATTCATGTGCACCAACTCAAAGTTAGTATTCAAGAACATCATGATTTGATGCGCTCCATCGCAGCTTGATCCGGTACCCTTTGACAACTCATGTTGATGAACAAGAGTTATACCCATTGTGCTCATCAAGACTTGTTTTAGACGTAGCCAAAACTTTCTCAAAATCCAATTGTGACAATGGTCTTGGTCCCTGTAACCACACACCAAAAACACCATTAAGTTGAGACATTGCCAATGCACGTCATATTTCACATACTCCAAGAAACAGAAAATGAAAGTGCCCATTGCCAATCTTTTAAAGTAGAGAACCTATGTCAATTTAACAAGGTGATTAACTGATTAACGTTGTCAATATCTATAGAGTAAAACAAGTGATATATATACTCACTGGACGTGTCTTGTTAGCCTTTTCTTCATTTAAGAAATCCCTGAGAGGAATATATGCTGCTTGTTTACAGAGCTCAAGCAAATCAGAACCAGTGTAACCTTCACACAGTCTAGCTATGTGATACAAGTCAATAGTCTCTTCAACATTTTCATTCTTCAATATCACCTTCAATATCTTTTCTCGATCATCACAGTCAGGCCTTCCGATTTCAAAAACCTGGGAAAAACGTCTAAGTATTGCCTCGTCCAGCTCTGCCGGACGATTAGTTGCACCAAGTACCATAACTCGAGCATTCTCTGAATGCAAGTTAATAGAAAAATCAACTTCACAGTTACATACAAAAGTTAACATGCTCGATATCAACATAAACTACTAATTATTTCAAGCTATATTACTATATGCAAACTCTAAACATCGGGAAATGAATCCAAGAAGGAAAATCATCCCACAAGATCATGAACTCAGTATTCACAGATAGAAAATTAGTTCACAGTCAAGGAAATAGCAAAGAACACTCACGATCAGTGGAAAAACCATCCCACAAGGTCATGAACTCGGTTTTCATAATAGCCATTGTATCCTGATCTGTAGCTCTTCGTTCACCCAGAAGACTATCCACTTCATCAATGAATATTATAGCTGGTTGCAGCTTATAAGCCAAACTAAAGACGGCAGTCACTGCAACAATATAACATAACAGTATTACTATTATCTTAGGAGCCCTTAAATTGATTAAAAGAAATCCCACTATGGTCACCTAGTTTTTGGGCATCGCCAAACCATTTACTCATCAAATTTGAGACTCTAACATTGATAAAGACAGCCCCAGATTCTTTTGCAATGGCTTTGGCAAGCATGGTTTTTCCTGTCCCTGGTGGTCCGTACAAAAGCACCCCTTTCTGGGGACCCAAAAGCTTGCCATGAGCAAAAAGCTCGGGTCTTCTAAGAGGAAGAATAACCAACTCATACAAAGCTTCTTTGATTCTATCAAACCCACCAACAGATTCAAATTCAACGTCTATGTGATCTGGGTTCACCACATCACCCACTATCACATCCTGCATTTTAGGGGAAGAAGAAATAACTTTGAGAATACAAATGGATTTCGTCAAATATATATATGTAAAATATAAAGAAAAAAATATTTTGTTCTTTTTGAAGTACCTCGTAAGGGTCAGTGTGGATGAGGGGGCGGCCGAGCCGTTTGGAGATGGCATTTTTGTTTTCAATGGATTTCTTTGAGGAATCGCGATTTGGGTTAAGTTGTTTGAGGCCGGCGAAAAGGACCAGGCAACTGAAAGCGGTGCTGGCTGCATATATGAGTAATTCTTGTAAGAAGCTCCTGTCCGTACGACGGCCGGGGGCCATGGCTGTTTGGTGCCCCTCTCCTCTGAAGCAACCGCAAAAAATGTTGGAAATTGGAAGGGGAAAGTGAGGGAAGGGAAGGGGCGTTGGCCGTTATGTTTGTTTTGTAGGAAACGAGGACGATAATGAAAATGGAATGAATATTAAACCGTGTTACGGGCGCTCCGATAGGGCACAGGGACAAACTCCCTTATTGGGCGGAGGCCCGAGAGTTTTGTGGACACATTAAGGGTAAATTATGCCACAGGTCTTTTATTTATTAGTAAAATTATAAAAGGGTCCTTAACTTTTAAAACATTATAAACGAATCACTCAATTAATTGGTTGTTACAAATATATTCAATTTGCTGTTAAAATTAAAATAAAATTTAATTCCTCAATTACATTTAGGTAAGTTATTTTATATATTGTTAATTACTAACTCAATTTGTCGATTGTTATAATCATATCATTCAATCGTAATTAAAAGAATTAAGGTGTAATCAAAAGAATTAAGTTTTGTTACAGACTTACATACAGTCTCTGTACTACTTTAACTTCTGAAATTTAATCCTTATACTCCCAATTCTAAGAATTTAATCACATTTATTTCAATTAATAGCACTAATAATATAATTCTTTTCAACTTAATTATTTGACATTTTAATATTCAAAATTTTACAATGTTACCAATTAGATTTTATTTTTACATCAAATAAGTGGATCACCTAAATTTATTGAATAAAAAAAGTAAATTTTAAAGGTCAAAGAGCAAAGGATTTGGAGAACAATTAGACTTTTGTTCTTTAAGTAACATGCTTATAATTATCAACAAATAAACAAACGTAAACTGAACAATGGGGTCGTTCAATAATTGCAAGCAAGCAAAGCTAAAGGAGCCTTCTAAATAGCTGATTTCTCAGCGTTGCCACCATCACCCAGACCAAGTATTGAGCGCGGGCAAGATAACATAATAAATGTAAATCTCATATTTTTCTTAGTTCAGGGAATTCGCCTACTAAACGCTTGTTTCAAGCAGAAATGTCAAATAACTTGGATTCCTTAGTTTAGGGATATCCATAAATGTTGCAAGAAGTTTAGAGGTGAAAAATCAGTGAAAAAAAAAAGAAAAAGAAAAAGAAGCAGAGTGGTGTTTGGACCTAAATCTTGTCATGCAGGTTGACCACCAAGTCGTGGGCATCATCGAGAAGCTTCCAGACGTCGAGATGTCCGGCCATACTATTGCATTCTCTCATTATCTCATCCATGCTACTGTACTTCTCTATTATCATTTTCCTCCTTTGCAAGACACAAGCTGCTATTGCATAAAGCAGAAGATCATCGGTAGGGGGAGCTCGAAGTCTCATCCTCCCCCAAGCAGACTTTGCAATACTGGCACGGATCGCTGCCTGGTCTGCCCAAATCACTTCCCAGAGGCAAAGAGTATGCTCAAAGTTTAACTCCCTTCTGAAAAGAACTATAACCATTCTATACACAAAGAAGCAGTCTTCGGCTTGAAGCTTCTCCAGGTGTCTATATAGATGATTATCCTTACACTTGATAATCTTGGACACGATGTTTAACTGTCTTCTAATGCCCATCTCATCAAGTCGGAAATTGTGACGAGCTCTTTTCATGAAACCTGCAAAGCACCAGAAGGCCTCAGAGTCATCCTCTACCACTGAGATGACGGGAGATACTGCAGCCTGGGACGGGGTGTATACGATCCAGTCGTCATTTGCCCTCACAGCATCAAGGAGGATGATTCTCCTCCATGTGGCAAAATCTTCATCAGTATGGGATGCAGACCTGCCTTCTATCTGGGAGGGAGGGGAACTATCATTATCATCTTTATGAATATTACTTTCCTCGGTTATTTCCGAGGAAAGGAGAGGGGTGTTTTCATGGTCTTCAGAAGAGTCAGAATCAGATGATTCTGTTTCACCAGTACAGGCATCTTGACTACTGACTACACTCTTGCCAACAACTCTCTCCAGAAATGAATCAGAGGATAACAGGGTTGGATGCCTGTGATCATAGAACGGGAGATCAGAATCATCAACCACTGGGCTTCCTCCATCAGTGGAGTGGGACCTACTAACCACATCCTCTAAGCCTGTATAATCAAGAACTTGACTGAAATTTCCAATGTCCTCACTGCAGATGTTTCCAGCAGTTCCCTTCAACTTACCACTCTTCTCAAGACGTTTAAGGATTTGGCGGCACTGTTTCCTCAAGCTTTCATACTCTTTCCTGTATCAGAAAAAAGTAAACAAACAATCCTTCATGAAATTTAAAAAAGATTGGAGAATGAATATTGTAATGTAACAAAGCATTGGCAACCCATCTGTGTGCTAAAGAAGCACAAGAAAGAAAACAAATGATACCGTTTCTGACTTCTATAGGAATCTCTTTCTTCCTTCGAACTGTCGAAGTCATATCTGTTAACCAAGCAGACATCACCGTTAATTGGTTTAACAGGTCATTTATGATCCCACTTCTCAAATGCATAAGAAAACATCTCAAAAATTATGTTTTCTGGATAAGTAATTAACACAACAAATTATTACAAATAAAGAAAAACTCAAGTAGCAAGAGAAAAGGGTACTAAAATGGATGCTTGAGGCATACTAAGCAAATGAATACAAAATACTTCATTCCTCTCCTCTTTCCTTCAGATTTATGTCCACTCAAGGAACACCGACAGTGATTCGAAAGGAGTAAGCACCAAGATATAAACAAAAAGATGACATAGAAGTAAGAATTAAATGTTCAAAGAAAAAGAGGTTTATTTGAAAAGAATCAGGCAACTAGACAGTAGACAGTGATTCAAAAGAAGTTGGTTATAGAAGCAATAATTAAAAAGTTCAAAGAAAGCAAGGTTTATCACAACATATAAGAATCTTACACTCCAAGGAGTAATGGCCACACCTCTGCTCTAATACTAGGATCAACACCCTGCATTGAAGATGCAAAGAATGAATTCTCAAAGAAGCAACGAAATACCAAATATAACAGAATAAACCACATGAAAACTGTAAGAAGATAAGATAAAAGAGAAGGTAAACAAGTCAATGCAAGTTTAATAACACACTCCGCTTCGAATTTTCTTCAGAAACTTGACACCACCATCAACGAGTTTCCCGTCTGCAGTGAACAAATTCTTCCACTGTTTAGGTAGAAGGGCGTGTTTTCTTCTCCTGTGAGACCAAGGTGATTTTAGGCTACCCCTGCAGCAAGAAGAAACAAAACTAATAAATCTTCCGTCAAGATGTAAGCTTATGAATAATAGTTCCTATCATATTGGACGAAGTTAACAAAATACAAGTATAGTTTGCTGGGTTCATGCATGGTATGCGAAAGATACACTATATGAATCCATACACTTACAAAAAAGCAAAGAATCACATGAGGAAACGGAACTTTTGGAACACTCAAGTAATGCTAAAAAGCCGACAGGCAAGCATAAAAAACTCGTTACAAGAGCAATTGCAGCAATTGCAATCGATAGGAGGTTCCATAGTGAAGATATGAAGAAACAAAAATCACAATTCCACAGCAAAACACTTAAAATACAAATGAGAATTTAATTGGGTTTAACCATGTTTTGCTTAAGAATTTGATTCTGAAAGTGACTGTTTCTCCTTCGCAAAAGTTAATCACAACAGTTGACTGGTTTGACCAACACAAATGTTGAAACAGTTGAGGCTTTCAAAAATACTTTGAAACGAATTTGAAAAACGAACCGAATAATAATCAGATTCAGAACCTTTAGGGAGAGGAAGAGACGATGAGATTGGAATCGAACGCTTATTAACAACCTAACAAACATGACGCTGATGGAACTGATTCGACTACTTTCAGATCGGGGATTCAGGTAACGGATGAGAATTATTTTATTTTATTTTATTTTTATAACAAAAATGGAAAAGTCGGAATCTACAAAATCCAAGAAAAAATAAGCAGAAATCTTAATTTAAATATAAGGGAAAGTAAATAAGGTAGTAATTTAAGTTTAACAGGAAAAAGTGAACTCACCGATCAGTTTGAAGTGGTTGGGAAGAAGATGAGGAAGATGACGATGATGAGGGAGATGCAACGACTAATAAAGCCGATCGCAAATGAATCCAAGATAACGATGTAGAAGATGAAGTATTTGACGCCGATGATGAGGAAGATGACGAGGATGAGGATGTTGCTGCTGATGCTGATGATGAAGAAGCCGTGTGACTTCGCCGCAAAGCTTTCATCAATGGTTTCTGTTCCGTAAGCATATCGATTTCTATTTTGCCTACTTTACATAAGTGATATTCAAAACCAATCCAAGCTCCCTGATCGATTTTCCCCCTTTTTCTGTTACCTAAGAGAGTAGGCGACGGTGGCGACGACAGCAAAGCCAGCCACGGAAGTGACAGAGATGACTATACCGAAGTTGACATCACCTAGTTAGAAGAGCAGAATCCGCCGCCACCGGTGCCAGAGTTAGCTCGTCCAAATAGGATCCATTTTCCAAAGCTAGCAGCAACGCGGTCGTCGGATGAGAGAAAAAGCGTGAAAACGACAAAGTAAGCTGAAATGACGGTTAAACCGAAGCTGAAATCCCGATTTGACTTTCGCTTTGGCTCCTGCTACTTCTTCTGGTAGGCAACACGGAAGAAGAAAGCACTACTAACCCATCAACAAACGGAGGATCCGCTTGGATTTATTATTATTAATTATTATTTATCAAAATGAAACAGGCTTTAGTTTTTTGGTTACAGTCAAGTCATTTTATTTATCAATTATAATAAGATAAAATAACTTCAGTAACCGAAAATAAATTATAATATACGATTTTAATTAATTTTTTTTGAATTTGTGAAAATGATCAACAAATTCGCAACACGAACTCCTGTTTCGCAACGTAAATTTATAATTTGCAACGCAGAAGTCAAATTCGCAATACTGAATTTCAAATTCGCAACTGAATTTCAAATTCGCAACTGAATTTCAAATTCGCAACTCGATTTTCGAATTCGCAACAGGTTTTAGTTTCGCAACATAAATGTTTTAGGTGTATAACTACGCAGCAGCAACAACTCATAACCTAAATCCCTAAATCGTAACTCATTCTATCTCCATCTATCACTCTCTCCGGCGACATTCGTTCTTATATCTAACGACATCCTTCCCCATCTCTAATTTTTTTACATAATTTTATTTCTATATAATTTTTCAATGATTTCTCTCCCAAATTATTAACTATCAACTTAATAAAGGTATGTTTTTCTCTAAGTTAGTGCTGATATCTAGTTTATAGCTCGTTTGTTTAGTAAATTAATTTACAATTTGTAGAATAAAATCATCTAATATTGATCATGTTTGGATAGATTTGTATTTTGGAGGGTCATGGGAGAATGTTCATGGTGTTTTACAATATGTGCCTTTACCCATGAATCTTCAACTAAAACTGTCATTAAAAAAAGTTAACTTATGAAACTCTAATGTTACGTGTTGCAAAGAAATTGAATTTAGAGCCTCTAAGTGGATTTAGGCTATCTTATCAGAAAAAAGGTAAAGTTTATTTGTTAACCGACAATGAAGATGTTGAACGATTCATTGCTTACATTAGTGTTTCACAAGATGATGTTACATTATATGTTGTTGAACCTAGAAGTAGTGAAGTTGGGTCAGTAGCGGGTAGTAATCAACTCAGTTCTTCAACCCCAGTTTATAGTGCTCACAATGTACAACGTTGTTATCAACCTCAAAATTTAATGGTTCCACCACAATTTCATCACCAAGAAAATTTTGTTTCACCACATTTCCAATACCAAACACAATCTCAAAACCCACAACCTTTTCCTAATCCAAAACTCAATCAACTTTCAGCACCAAATTCCAGTTTTCGTATTGACCAGTTATACGATTATGAGCCAACAGAAAAAATTGTGAGTACTAGTCAGTACTCAAAATTTGATCTTAGTCAATACCCGGACTTTGATCTTGGTCAATACTCGAATTTTGATGATGTTTCAGAAGAAGAAACAGACCCTACATGTAATGATTTTGATATTGGTCAATATCTGAATTTTGATGATGAAACAGCCGCTGTCGAGGAAGATGTTGTTGATGATAATGAGGAGGAGAAAAAAGAAGAAGAAGTCCCCGAAGAAAAGAAAAAGAAGAAAATGCCACGGGAGTATAACTGGAATATGCCAGAATTACTTTAGATACCGGAAGAAGAGTTGGTAAAGAAATGTGTGGAAGATGACTATCAACTAAAAGTTAACAAATCAAGCAAAGATCGTTTCGAAACAAAGTATATGATTGACAAAAACTGTACGTGGCGTATGATTACAAAGAGGATAAAAGATTGTGAAATGTTTCAAGTTAGAACTTTTATTGATAAACATACATGTCAAGAACCCAAGTTTTTCCTCACCATAGACAGGCAAAAAAGGTGTTGGGTGGTTTTCTGGCTGAGTTAATGTTTATGAATGACAGAGTATATCGGGGACATGAAATTATGACTGACATGAATGCTCGGTTCAAGATTAGTATCTCATATTCTCAAGCTTGAAGAGCCAAATGTTATGCATTGGAATTGTTGAGGGGGTCTCCAGAAGCATCGTTTGCCCAACTACCGGCTTATTGTCACAATTTAAAGCTGAAAAATCCTGGGTCGGTAACTATCAAAACAGATAGAGATTGACGCTTTGAGTGTGTTTATCGCCATTGGTGTTGCGGTTAGTAAATCAATATAATCTGTTGACTCATTTTTGTTAGTTACATGCATTTCACATTTAAATGATTATATTTCTTGTGTATATTATTTTGTAGATTCGTTCGTTTATTACTTGTATGCGCCCATTTATTATAGTTGACGGAGCACATTTGAAAGGTTGATACCTTTGAGTAAACTTATTAGCAGTAGCCATAGATGCTAACAATGGGATACTACCAATAGCTTACGGGGTTGGCAAATCTGAAACCTCTGATTCATGGACATAGTTTATGGGGCATCTTAGGGATTACATAGGTCCTATTAGCAATCTGACAATCATATATGATAGGGAAAACTCAATTGACAACACTGTTAGAAGGTGTTTCCCAGATGCTTTTCATGGACTTTGTGGTGTTCATTTGTACATAAATCTAAATCAGGTCTGCTGGTATAAAAATAATGGACATACTGGAAGGCTGTAATCATAAATGGACATACTGGAAGGCTGTAAAAGCTTATCGGGAAGTGGATTTCAATAAGCATATAAATTGTTTAAGACATGTTTTGCCTCAATGTTCTCAAACACTAGAAGATGTCGGGTTTGAAAGATAGTCAAGAGTACATCAACTTGGAGCAAGATATGGTTTCATGACGTCTAATAGTACAGAATCAATCAACGCTCTAAGTCGTCATTCCTAGAAATTACCCATTACTATGTTAATGGAGTTTTTTCGAGCCTCTATTCAACAGTGGTACTACAAGAAAAGAAACCATGCAAATATTATTTCTTTAAATTCGTAACTTATCATATATTTTACTAAGTATTATTTATTTAAATTTACAAGAATATTGGAACGTCATGTTACACCATGGACTGAAAAAAAGATCACTAAACGTGTTGTGAAGTCAACGTCATGGAGAGTTTAACAATGTTCAAACACTTTGTTTGAAGTATTGGATAATAACTTAAATGGGCTTGTCGATCTAAATGCAAAAACGTGTAGTTGTATGAAATGGCAAACATCTGGTTATCCGTGTGGCCATGTTATAAAAGTTGCTCTTCATCTAAACCAAGATGATTCAAGCGCATACGCTATGGATTGCTACACTACAGAAGTATATCGACAGACTTATGCCGAGATTGTCTACCCTATTCCACATCCTTCTGAGTGGGACATACCGAATGACTTACAAACAATTTTGCCACCAGTCATGGACAGCAGACTACCTGGCCGACCAAAAAATCACGATCATATACCGTCTAAGGGTGAAGAGAAGAGGATATCGACATGTAGTCGGTGCAAGGAAAGTGGTCATACAAGGTTGACCTGTGGATCACTAGTGCCATCACAATCATCTTTTCCTCTACCAAAATATGGATCCTCATTAAAATCCAAAGCTCATATGGTGTCAAGCAAAAGGAAATCAAAATCCAAATCGCAATCAAAATCAAAATTCCAATCACAACCGGCTTCACCTTTTGGGACTTATTAACTTAGGTGATTTTTAAATGCAAACTTTGTATTATGTGTATTTTATGTGTGAATGCATACATTTTCAGTTAGACATTCATTAGTAACTTGAGTTTGAACATTGCTATGATCTGTTCAGTTGTTATCACTTATCAGATTGTTGTCTGTTATCTTTTTGAAGGTGTTTTCCTTGAATTCGCAATGCGAAAGTCAAATTCACGTTGTGATTGTTGCGAAAGTTAAATTCGCAATGCGATAGTCAAATTCGCAATGCGAAAATCAAAATCGCAAACTGAAAATCGCAACGCGAATTTGACTTTCGCGTTGCGAATTTAACTTTAACGTTGCGAATTTGACTATCGCAACGCGAAAATCGCAATGCGAATTTGACTTTCACATTGCGAATTTGACTATCGCAACACGAATTTGACTTTCGCGTTGCGAATTTGATTTTCGCGTTGCGAAAGTGTACCTTTAACAGTCTTTTTTACCTTCAACATAATGCAGATTGAATTTAAACAAATCAACTTTTACAAATCAATGAAACAAGTAAAAAATAATTCTTATTTACACATCAATTAAACAAATCAACTTTTACAAATCAACAAGCAAAAAATAATTTGTATTTCCTCAACCAATCAACTTTTACAAAGAGAATAAATCAATGTAAAATTCAATTAAACAAGGAAAAAAAGTGTACCCCAAACAGTTATTTATGCACAAATACATCAATTTCACGCAGCTCACGTCAAGAATAATGCTCAAACAAACTTTCTACACATCTAAAACCAACAAACAACAAATTATTGAATTCTAGGTACTTAACCAAACATTTTCAAACCAACAAAGAGTATATATGTTAACAACACTTGCTCAAACTTACCAATTGTTTATGCAAACTTTCAGCACGTGAATCCATGTAGACAACGTCTCGCATATATCGCTCGAGCCATAAAATGCCGAAACCATAAGCCTACTGCACCTCTATCTCTATCTGTGGGAGGTAGAAGGTGTTTACTTTCTGTCGTCAAACGCTCCAAGCATATGCATACAAGAGGACCACAATCCCCTCTGGCTCCCTCCATTTGTTGTGGCGCGGTATCGTCTCTGATCATTGTAACTTTGAACTTTTTTGGCTTCTTATTTCCAGAATTAGTCCAATAATTAATCGCGTCCAAGTATTTCGCCAAATGAGCGCTCCATCCCTTACAAATAATATCTCTCAAATCAGACAATGGTATGTAATTCAACATGCTGTCATATACCATTGTCTTCAAGGATGGGAGTTGGCTTCTTATTTCCAGAATTAGTACAATAATCAATCGCGTCCAAGTATTTCGCCAAATGAGCGCTCCATCCCTTACAAATAATATCTCTCAAATCAGACAATGGTATATAATTCAACATGCTGTCATATACTATTGTCTTCAGGGATGAGAGATGAAGCTCGACGAGAAGCCAATGACGACGTTCCAAAACAAGGATAAACACCTGCAATCATAAATAATTGCGCACATCAAATA